GTATTTATTTCAACATCATCTACTGTTCGACAGAATTGTTTTCTCACCTTGCTATTATTATTGACAATCGAAGTTGCCAGACGATACTGGCGAGTAAGCATTGCACAAATCTAAGTTGACCTTGAACAAAATAATTACCAACATTACCATCACTAAGGGTATCAGCACAAGGGAGGGGTGTCCAAGGACTGAGATTTGAGAATTCTTCCAATTTCTTTAAACACCTACAAAAATAGCTAAAATTGTAGAGGAAATGAGAATTGATACTCATATCCTTCACAGTTACTACTTATTTCCTTCTTCAATTCCTCAGAAGGGAATAACGTCTAAGAAAAAATCACCCCACTTTCAAGGCTCAATCACCCCTCAAATCCTCATTTCTGCCAAAGAAATTGATTAAATGACAATTCCATACACGAAGAACTGAAGAAATGGCTAGAACTGACATCGCCATAAGACAATACCCAATATATGTGCTCACTTTCAAGAAGGAACCTACAGTCACTTTCTCAAATAACTATAGCAAGTGACACTATCTACATGTGATTATAATCATACAAAACACATAAAAACTCAGGATAGCCGATGAATAATTTCAGTTCTGCTGATAATACCTAGGGAATGTAGTGAGTACCTAAAAGGAATCTATACTTCTTTCCCCGAGGAACTAGAGGAATTGATAATATATCATTCTACCTATGAGAATATTCTGAAAGAGAAAAATAGTCGGGTAACCGAGGAATTATCTCAGTTCTACTGATAATTCCTAGACATCGAGATGAGTACCTAGAAGGAATCTAGGGTTAGTTTCGCGGAGAATTAGAGGAATTGGCAGTATATTCCTTATAGAAAATGTTTCTCTTATAACAGATCTACTGCCAATTCCTCTAATTTCCCGAGGAACTAATCCTAGATTCCTTCTAGGTACTCACGTCAGTACCTAGGGATTATCTGCAGAACTAAGATAATTCCTCAGTTCCCCGACATTTTTTTTGTATCCAGCAACAGTTTATTTCTGATCGCATCTCGATGGTGAAAGCTCAGTACCCTCCAGTTCCCTTGCAATTCTTTCATAGTTACTCTATTGCTCCTTGAAAGTTTCGATAATAATTCCCCGACTAAAATTTTCTCGATGATTGGTACGAAAGTTTTTATTGTTTAAATCGGTGTATAGAAATTGATTACGTGTGGTGATTTCTCCAGGAAATAACCCTAGGTTCCCTTCAGGTACTCATTTCAATACCTAGGGAATGTCAGCAGAACCAAGATAATTCCTCGGTTCCCAGGCATTTTTTCTTGTTTAGTAAATATTCCTCTTACAGCTGACATAGTGTCAATTCCTCTAACTTCCCAAGAAACTAATCCTCGGTTCCTTCTAGGTACTCATCTCAGCACCTAGGAAATGTCAGCGGAACATCAGTTATAAGACAAATATTTTCTAAAAAAGAAAAAAAATGCCGGAGAACCGAGAAATTATCTCAGTTCTGCTGATAATCCCTAGGTACTGACGTGAATACCTAGAAGAAATCTAGGGTTAGTTCCTCGAAGAATTAGAGGAATTGACAGTAGATCTGTTATAAGAGAAACATTTTCTATAAGGAATATACTGCCAATTCCTCTAATTCTCCGCGAAACTAACCCTAGATTCCTTCTAGGTACTCATCTCGATGTCTAGGAATTATCAGTAGAACTGAAATAATTCCTCGGCTATCCTGAGTTTTTATGTGTTTTGTATGATTATAATTGCATGTAGATAGTGTCACTTGCTATAGTTATTTGAGGAAGTGACTGTAGGTTCCTTCTTGAAAGTGAGCACATATATTGGGTACTGTCTTATGGCGATATCAGTTCCCTTGATTAGAATTATCTGTCAGTTCTAGCCATTTCTTCAGTTCTTCGTGTATGGAATTGTCATTTAATCAATTTCTTTGGCAGAAATGAGGATTTGAGGGGTGATTGAGCCTTAAAAGTGGGGTGATTTTTTCTTAGACGTCATTCCCTTCGGAGGAATTGAAGAAGGAAATAAGTAGTAACTGTGAATGATATGAATATCAATTCTCATTTCCTCTACAATTTTAGCTATTTTTGTAGGTGTTTAAAGAAATTGAAAGAATTCTCAAATCTCAGTCCTTGGACACTGCTGCATACAAGGACAAAAAATGTAGTGTCATAGTCAAATCCATTGCATTTAATTGTGTTATAATAGGTAATGCAACATATGTGAATGTTGTACAAAATAATTTTTCTCTGCTTCTAGACAACATTGCTCAATTACATTTGTATAAGAAGAATCTTATGTCAAGAGTGCATACTCAAAGATGATATAATGTGATATTTTTAAAAATTATGCTTGATGCTGTTACACTTGACCGAAGGAAAAAAAATCAAATTATATTTATCATTGAGTATGCACTTTTGACCTAAGATTCTTCTTATACAAATATAAAAGAGTAATGTTGTCTACAAGCAGAGAAAAATTATTTAGTACAGCATTCATATACGTTGCGTTACCTATTATAACACAATTAAATGCAATGGATTTGACTATGACACTACATTTTTTGTCCTTGTATGTGCTGCCTATCTGCATCTTCACATGTTGTAGAGTGTCTATTCTTGATGATCGACGAGAGCTTACTATTTAATTTTTTCTTCCTGCGGTTATACACCTCAAGAACAAAATTATTTTTTGTTCTGTTTTTTTTTCTTTTTTTCGTTTGGACTATCGCACTCAAATATTGAGAATAGCACGTTTTGTGGCGATATCCTTGAGGATGATATTGTTGATAGTCATTGTATTCAAGGGCAATTTGGATTTGTGTAATGCTTGCTCTTCAGTATTGTCTGGCAACTCCGATTGTCAATAAAAATAACAAGGTGAGAAAACAATTCTGTCGAATAGTAAATGATGTTGAAATAACTACAAATACAATACCATAACTGCAGTAGTTTGAAATAAAAAAAATATTTTGTTCGATTTTCTAAATACATGTATGGATATTAATTTTGGAATAATATTTGGTATTATAAAGAATTATTTTTTTTCTTCATCTCTTTATTAATCTTAATTATTGATTTAGAGTGCATGCTTTTCAAATTGTTTCTATTGTTTGAACGATCTATCTTGATAAAAGAAATATGACGATTGAAATTCTTTTTTTAAAAGCATATGTACATCATACACGAAGGGTTCTTGACTTGGACACATGCAAGTGGACTAAGGAAAAAAGAAACACAGAGAGAGAGAGAGAGAGAGGACGAAGAACTATGGCAATTCTTGAGGGTGTGGGTGTGGGTGTGGGTGTGGGTGTGGGTGTGGGTGTGGGTGTGGGTGTGGGTGTGGGTGTGGGTGTGGGTGTTGGTGAGGGTGTGGGTGTGGGTGTTGGTGAGGGTGTGGGTGTGGGTGGGTGTGAGTGTGGGTGGGTGGGTGATTGGGTGTGGGCGTGGGAGTGAATAGAATGCTTCGACCTATACCCACACCCACACTCACACCACCCACCCACCCATCTACACCCACACCCACACCCCACACTCACACTCCACACTCCACACTCACACCCCATATCCACACCCACATCCACACTCACACCCCATATCCACATCCACACCCATATCAATACCCACACCCCATACCCACACCCACACCCACACCCACCTAGGCGCCCATACCCACACGTCCACACCCGCCCCACACCTACACTCACCACCCACACCGGACACCTGACACCTATACACGAACCCACACCCATACACTCCACCCACATTCCACACCTCACACCCACACCCCACACTCTAATAAGTCTATCCACGCCTACATACCCACACCTCCCACACTATCGCCCACACCCAGCATCCCACCTACCCACAGCCCATATCGACACCCACACCCACACCACACCCCACACCCTAATAAATCTATCCACAACCACAACCACACGCACACGCAGACCCATACGCCAGCGACACCAATACCCACCCACACCCCAGAGACAACAAAACTCACTCACAGTCACATCCACACACCCTTGTTAGATGTTATTCTGACGGTGAATATAGTTTCTTTCATTGGATTGATAATTAGAAAGAAGACTAGAATAAGAAAGTATCTGTCACCCTACAGATTGTTTTTTTTGTAGATTTGCTGCTTTATTTTTAAACATGCACAAAAATTGTGTATTGTTGTCGTGATTGTTACTCTTGATAAGAAAAATAATTTGGAGAAGAAAAGTAGTAGAATGGAAAAAATATGTTTGTGTCTTTGATTGTTTTACCAACTTATGGTTATATTTACATGCGCTGATTGTAAAAATAAATTTCAAAAACAACTACATGGCATACTGACTTCTTCGGTTTTTGGTTGATAAAGTATTTTTTTTCCATTCATGGCTTATATCAGAGAGAAAATTTTTTCGATTGTCAATGCGACCATGTGCTCTCCTTTCTTCGATTTTTGTATGATAAATAGACGTATGGGTTTTTTCTTATCGATGGCGCAACTACAAGTTGCATGTCTGACGTAGATATTTGCGCACTTGTTGAAGCAAGGAAGAACAGAACAAATCTTAAAAAAAGCGACGTTTACTTACATAGATTTCTTACTCATTTTCTTCTAGACTTGTTTGCCATTAGACGAATACGCAAAATATTGAGGGATGGCTGCTGGTAATTCAAATCTGGGTACGTTTTGATAAAAATGCTCATATAAACGCGAGATAACTTTCAAAACTTGATTAGATCTTGCATTTGCGATGGATTGCACAAGTTCGATGGGTTCCTACATCAAAAGTGCGAAGGACAACATTCGTGTAATTATCGACGAAATTGTTGCAAAGGAAATGATAACTATACGTCTAGCACTCATCGAGTATCGAGATCATCCACCTCAGGTCTGTGTGAAAACAGATGTAAATAATTGAAAACTCTAATCAATATCAAATGTACATGTTTAGGACAGCACATTCGTGACCCGTGTGCATGGTTTTACGAATACGGTGACGGAAATGAAAGGATGGTTGGAACAATGCAGTGCTCTTGGTGGTGGAGATGGACCAGAAGCAGTGGCTGACGCACTTCACGATGCCCTAAACCTCTCCTGGCGTTCTGACGCTGCCAAAATCTGCATTCTCATTTCGGATGCCCCACCACATGGACTTGTTCGGGCAGGTGACGGCTTTCCAGATGGCTGCCCTGCAGGTCATGATCCACTCAACATCGTTCGAAAGATGGCTGAGAAAAATATCACACTCTATACCGTTGGTGTTGAACCTCCAATCAGTAATTTGTTTCTCTCTGCCTCAATCTACATACTTCAAACCTTGTCTATTATATTCTTCCTATTCTAGTACCCTATCGTGAGTTTTTCATGACAATTGCACATATTACCGGTGGACAATACGTTCCAATGGTTGATGCAAATCGACTTGCCCAAATGATTATTGGCGGAGTACGCGAAGAGATATCCATCGATCGTGTTATGGATACTGCGAAACGCGACATAGCTCGAGAAATGCGCAAAGCAGCGTCAGACGGAGTTGACGATATAGAAACAGCCAGACGACTACAACGAGTTTTTTCGGACAAGAACATAGTAGTCAATCGCATGAAAAATGAGGCTGGAGCACCGTCAAAAGCAGCGGAAGAATGCTACTCGAAGTGTGTCGACATGTCTGATATACAGCAACAATACAAGCAAACACAGACAGTGTCACATACAAAACCAGCTGAAATGGACTATAAATTAGAAGAGGAAAAAACAGTCAGTTTAGAACAAGCAAAACGCATTGTTCAGAAGGCCAAAAACTGGGATTACTCAACTATTGATCAAGCTGAAAACAATGGTAATCCATCATGCAAACATGGGACAAGATGTCATGATCATAGTGAATATCATCGAGCAAGATTTTCACATCCGGAGAACGATAATCTTTCTACACAACGGAAATACGAAACCAAATCCAATCACCATAACACTCAGTATCGAGCAGCACATCGCACCACTCAAAAAGATAGTAATCGTATACCATGCAAATACGAAGAAAGATGTCATGACCATAGTGAATATCACCGTGCAAAATATTCACATACTGAAAACGAAAGTCGTCGCACACCTTGCAAACATAAAGAAAATTGTCATGATCATAGTGAATCCCATCGTGGGGCGTTCTCACATCCTGAAACTGATGATCATCATATACAATGCAAACATGGTTCGAGTTGTTACGATAATAGTGATTATCATCGAACGAAGTATTCACATCCAAATATATCCAGTTAATCAAGTGATAAACATTAAGAAATTACTGTATACTCCATTTCTTTGCTTTTCGTTCGCACTTTATATTTTACGTTAATACACATTCCAACTGGAATTCAAAAAAATATTTAGTTTTATGCTCATAATTCTCTTTCATTTCTTTTTTGAAAAGAGGCGCTCTGGCAGATTGATAAAACTGTTAATCCGGTCTTTTTCATTATCGCAACACGTGTTCTATGGAAGTCATTTTGTTTACCTTTTGGTAAATGTGTAATAAGCAATCTTTTCGCTGGCGCTGTAACACACATTATTCGTTTCGTTCTCACACATTGCATGTCAAATGAAAAGAAAGGAAAAAAGGCATATGTAAGAACGACAAGAATCCATTACGCTATTCAAATCGTAGTGTGAGTTTTTCTGTTGTTACTGTCATCACAAAGAGAGTACAGAAAAAAAATTTCCCCATGAGTCATAACAATGATTGAGGGTAGTTATGGTGATAATTACGTGAATGCGATAAAATTCAATTTGAATAAATCCGTACAAGTTTGCAAAGCCATGGCTCATACAGATAAATATCTGATCAAAAATGACGCCATTTTTGCAGTGATCGACAGAACTGAATAAGGACAATGTTTCCTGTCGCCCTTACCAGAGACGGTAACTACATTATATATGCACGAAACAAATAATCTGCTCTACGACTCGATCATTCTCGAATAAGAAGAACTAGCTGAAGTATCCCATGTTACCTGGGAAACTCAATATTTCACACTTAACATATTGGAAAGGGTGCGGATGTGGCTGTGGCTGTGGTCCGTGAATGTGAGGCATGTGGGTGTGAATGTGGATAGAGTTATTACCTACACCCCAGAGATGTCCATCGCGGCGCTGCCGCGGTAGCGGTTAGTGGGGCGGCAGCGGCAAAGGTTTTTGGAAAAGCATCACGGCGCGACAGATTTTCAAAAGTATCGTGGCGGCAGCGGCAATTTATCTTTTTTGGTCATCGCGGCGCGGCAGCGGTAGAAATTTTAAAAACTTCTTTTATCATATTTGAAAAAATTAACAGTGCTAAGAATTAATGAAAGTGCTAATCAACTTATATCAATTTCCTTTTTCATAAAAATGTTGATTCTATTTTTTTTTAAATGAACAAAAAAGAAGTCACTTTTGAATGGGTCACATGCAAAAGAGAAACCGTGAAATTTTGCAGTTGAGTATCTTATTCTAAATAATCTATCTCCCTTTCAACTGCATTCTCTGAATATCTCTAAACACCCATCATTTTTTATCTCTTTTTGATTTAAAACATACTGTGCGAAGATGGAAATTTATTGTCATTTGGTGTTTATCCTTCTTTCAAGAATATTTTAAGAAACAGACTTTTTTCTTTCAGTTTTAATTGCTCTCTATGAAATCATAATTGTGGCTACTGTAGTAGATCAATCGCTGTCGTTCATTTCTTTTTATGTAAATACTCGAGTGAATCATTCGTGTAAGTTAAATAGTACACATTTTCTCTTTTTAGAGGGGCACAGGTTCTATGAACTGCACATTTAATAGCGTCGCAGCAGCGGCAAGATTCTTTTTAGTGTATCGCGGCGCGACAGTGGCACGGCATAGCTGGTTCTAAGCGCGTCGCGGCAGCGGAGGGGTAGCTTTTCTTTTGTGTACCATCGGGGCGCGGCAGCGGCAAATGTTCTGCCGCGATGGGCATCTCTGCTACACTCACACCCACACCCTGCAGTAAAAACCTTTTCATATAACTCATTTTTTGCCCATGAATCAGTATAATTATTCACTCGAGGTGGACCACCGGAAAATTTTTCGAAAAAATGAAAGTCGATCGAACGTTTCGAAACTTACATAGATCGACTCAATTTTTGCGTTGATTTCAAATATATCATATAGTAAATAACAATTCTGACTATTCACAAGCAAATTGATCAAATATTAATGAAAATACGTAGTTTTTAGCACATTTGAGTATTGTGTATTTCGCCAAGGTGTCTTGCCCACTGATTATGATCCGTGTAATCCTACCATTTTGTAGAGTTTTGAGAGGGCTATCAAATAATTTATAATTGACAGTGAATATAAGCTTGTACAGCACGATAGGATGGAATTTTTTTTATGGGTGTTCTCATCCTATATATATGAGTGAACAGTGCTATCCACAACAAACGTTGAAAGAAGAATATTTCTCATACTTCTATATACCATTCGATAGAGAAATCAATGAACTTTCATCTGATATACAGCTCAAATTATAAAAGAGTTACATAAGACAGGAAAACTTTTCGCACAAACAGGATATCTCATGACCGTATCGGAGACAGATAATCTCAAGTTTTGAGTCAGCCATATTCACGCACAATGAGCTCTAATGATCTGATTTGAGCGAAAATCAACTCGCCGAAACAAAATTAACTAATGAGAAAATAAGAAACTCATTTTTGAGAGGGGAGTCGATTTCATCACTTAACCATCGTTCGCCCTCCCCCTCTTTTAAAGGGACCAGGAACAACACGAAATCCAAAATAATAGTAACATTTTGTTGTGGGAGCGAGCTTTATCTATGCCCACACCTACATCCTCACCCACACTCACACCTAGTAAATGAGTTATACACCATTCGATAGAGAATTAAATTCTACATCTATTACACATGTTTTGATTCACCGGTTATGCTTGAGTGATTTCCAGGAAATCCGTTTTTTCTAAGCAATCGTGAACACTTGCGTTGATACTTCAGTTCTTTGCGAATAACTCGTCTTACAAGTATGGCCGGTGAATGAGTTATATATCATTCCGTGGAGAATTGAATTCTGCATCTAGTACGGATGTGCGGATTCACCGACCACGCTTGAGTGATTTCCACGACATCCTTTTTTTCAGAGCAATCGTGAATAGTGGTGTTCCTACTTCATTTCTGTGTGAATAACTACTCTCATAACTGTCGCGGTTGGATAGGAGAAGCACTATCCGAGAAAAAATTGAATTTTATCTGTGAGAGTGGTGTCTTAATGCACGTAAAATTGTGGGAAGGAAAGATATGGCTGGTGGATGATAGAGGGCGCTTTGTCGCGTGCTACTTCATGTGGGTGGTGCTGGGGCTTGTTTTCTCAATTTGTGATGCATAAAATGGAAATGTAGTAATAGAGGCTGATGGTATCAGCTACTTATTTGGAGTATTTGTTGTTGCAACTAAGAAAAATTTTTGGGTATTCCTTGAACTGGTAATGGTAATCGTGCTTCTGTTTTCTATTGGTTAACTTTTGCTGAAATATGATTGGTCGTCATGGTAGCTTCACATCGGTAGTCTCATATACATCCTGTTATTTGGAATGATTAGCTTTTTACGTCATAAAAATAAACTTCACTCATAGACTACATGTAAAATTTACTTCGGTCGTTCTCGTTATTCTCTGCTTGTGAACTATACTTTAAACAGACGCAATAAGATTCCAACACACATATTTACTTCAGAATAGCAAAAGAAAATAATTGACTAGGAAGATGTGAATCGTTCTTTGACAAAATTTGTATTGCTTGTTGTTGAAAAAGAAACGAAATTTAATGCTATTGGTTGACTATCATAAACATCGAATCAAGTCATGTTCGAAGTTTCTTTTATTTGCGCGTGAAAGCTACCGTCGATTTCTTCCACTCACTGGATGAAATGAACAACATGCATCACACGTGGTGCAATACAATGCTATAAAAGACGCAGTTATTTTTCATTATTTCATTTTCAACTTTGCGAGAATACATCCTATGCCGCGATGTTGAACATTCCGGAAGCAGTTCCGCCCCCGGAACCAGTTCCATAAAATTCCCGGAATTCCCAGAACTAAGTTCAGACGGAATTACCCCGAATTCCCAGCAATTCCGGAATCGCACGGAATTCCTAGGAATTCCGTGCGATTTCGTGTAATTCCGTCTCGACTCAATTCCCGGAATTCCGTGCCGGAATTACTTCCCGCCCTCACCCTCACGCATAGTGTTGTGACTGAATATTATTCTCTCGTATAAGTAAGTAATTCCGGTACTGAATTCCGGGAATTGAGTCGAGCGGGAATCGTACGCACTTTGGCGGAATTTCCGGGAATTCCTAGAAATTCTGTCCGATTCCGGAATTCTGACAATTGTTGGCAATTCCATCTCCACTCAATTCCCGGAATTTCGAAATGAGACGGAATTTCTAGGAATTCCGTGTAATTCCGTCGCGACTCAATTCCCGGAATTACGTACCGGAATTAGTTCCCGCCCTCACCCTCACGCATAGTGTTGTGACTGAAGATTATTCTCTCATATAAGTAAGTAATTCCGGTACGGAATTCCGGGAATTGGGTCGCGAGGAAATCGCACGGAATTGGACGAAATTCCGGAATTGGTGGGGATTTCATCGCCACTCAATTCCCGGAATCCGACAGAATTCCGTTCAATTCCGGAATTGCTGGGAATTCGCTTGAATTCCGTCTGGTTCCGGAATTGCTGAGAATTCGAAGTAATTCCGTCTGGAATAAGTTCCGAGAATTGACGGAACTCGGTCAGTGACTAGTAGGTCTGTTATTGGGAATGACGATCGAGTTCTCAGAATTGAATGGAACTGGTTCCGGGGGCGGAACTGATTCCGCAATGTTCAACATTACGGAATAAGATGACTGCTCAACTTTGCGGAGTTCTGTTGAATTTTACTTGCACATTGAATTTCTATAGAATATATACATAAAGAGATTTTTCGTTTTTAGATTGACTAACCATGGAATCTTGTTCTTCGTGTGGCAAATCATTGAGAAAAAATGACGACAAAGTAATGACAAACAGTCAACTTAGTTTCCATCGTTCTTGTCTCGAGAACATGCTTAATACAAAACCCAAGACTTACGATCAAGTATGTGGGGAAAATGTAGCTTTATTGGTGGTCTCACTTAAGAGTATTTCTAATACATTTCTGCGCCTTATTGGACAGAGAAACCTCTCAGTTTCTTAATTTCGACCTATGATTTCAATACAAC